AGGAAAGGGGGATTTTCGCAAGAATTTTCGCAAGAATTTTCGCAAGAATTTTCGCAAGAATTTTCGCAAGAATTTTCGCAGCCGAATGAAATGATTCCAGGGAAATTGTTGAACTCGGAAGATTCGCAAGAAGGGATGGGGCAGCAGCAGAGTCATTTAATCTCGGTGGGGCATAGGGGGAATATGAGGAAGGGGAATCCCCTAAGCATCGATGTTTTATGGTGGATGGTGAGAAAGTACAGGGGTCACTTTCCCCTTTTTTTGCTGCTCAGCACAGCGGGGACAGAAAGGGGAGAGGGCAGGGGGAAGAGTGTTGGGGGTGGGAGGTAGGTAGGGAGAAAGGGGATGTTGGTGCGATAAGGATGGCATCGAGACGACATTGGCTCGACTGATTGTCCCGGGTTCGGTGGTGTAATGGTGTAAGCACACCTGACCAGCAATCAGGAGGTCCGGCTTCAATTCCCGGCCGTCCCCTGGCTATCTTTCGTCCTCTCGCGCCATCCAGCCTATCCTACCTTCAGCACTTCTTGTCACATTGGTAACGATAAGAAGAGAGAGAAGGGGGGAGGGTGAAGGGAAATGTCAAGAGTATCTCATTCACTTCCGCCCCCTTCTGGTTTGTCATGCATGCATTTAGAATTAAACCTTAAACGGACAGGGCTAAATGGACAAGAAACTCAGCTAGGGGGGGCTTCGGAACCCCACAAACCCTCCTCCCCCCACCGACTGTCACGGTGACAGTGTCACCGTGACGTTGAAGGTTCTTGGGGAATGGGAAGAAGTTTGGCCAGGTAGCAATTATGTGTCTGAAAGGTCTCCATTGAATTTTTTTTATCGCAATGCATTTCTTGTCTGGCTTCCTCTTCCGGCAAATTTTGTTGAAAGTCAAAAACTAACTTTAGAATAAGACTTGGTCGCACAGCCGCTTCATCGCTCTAAGTGATCTCAATTGGACGCACTCGGCGCGATCATTGATCGCGCTCTTAGCAGGCGAAACAGATGGAAGCCACATGACCCCATCCCCAATTCCCCAAACCGGCGACCACGCTCCAACATCCCATCGTCTTCCACTTCTCCCAGCGCCATCCACTCTAGTGGGAGGCCGGTCACAACTTTGGATCGCTGGGGATGGGACTCGGCTCGTCCGACTTCCATCTGCTTCCATTCGCTAAGGACATCGTGCATCGCAGCGCCGAGTCCATTCAATTGAGATTACTTCAAGCGATGAATGAATTGGACGAAGAAAATGAATTTTCTTCATGGGGCCCATGAGACGTCACTTTCTCATCTCTCCTTTAAAATATATTTAAATTTCTTAAGCAATATTTATTTGTTGTCCTCTCTCCCTCCTCGTCACAGGCAGAAGGCAGCCTGTGCTTGCGTGGTGGCTCGCGACAACAAGAACACGGACTGCAAGAACTGCTTTGAGGCGGTGAGTGAAGGCCATTTGTGCAAAATTTGGGCTTCTGCGCTCTAAGTCGCTCTAATTCGGTTGGTGTCGCCTGATGAGCGCCACATTTATTTAAATGCATCGTTTATCATTCGGTGAGAGAGAGACAGCGAACAGCTTTTCCTCTTTCCAGCAGGAAGGAACTGTTCACAGACGATTGCAATCCTCAATTTTGAGACTTCTCTTGCAGATAATGCCCGATGTATTGGCGTGCTATGCAGTAATGTGTTATGCAGTAATGTGTTATGCAATAAGAGGCATGCAGCAATGCGACAAACAAAAAGACGTTATACAATACTTGCGTTATGCAGGAATGAGGTATGCAATAATGCTTTATGCAATGAAGCTGTTGATGTATTACGCCATTATGCAATTATGCATTTGGCAAGATTAGGCATTGTACCTCATGCATGATGCAACCAAACGTCTCAGCATGATGGCGATTTTCGTTCCTCTCATCAAAAGGCGCTGAACATGACGGGATCTATCCCGTCAAAATTGACCGACGAAGCCTCGGGGATCGGGAAATGCATCCAGGACCGACTCCCCCAAAATTTCGACTACTGCCGCCGGATCCTCAACGTAAGGGAACCTTTCCTCTCGGGTCGACTCGTGACTTCGAGCGACTCTCGGCGACTCTGGCGACATGGCATGTCGCGTTCCACATTGCGAATCGAGAGTGTCGTCTCCGTTGCACGCAGGGCGAGGTGGCGATGCCAAACGGGACGAACATGTGGGGCGGGCGGGGACGCATGATGTCGGGCATGATGCCTGGCATGACGTCGATGCTGGGCCTGTCGGACGCCGACCAGAAGATCATGCAGCGAATCATGCAGGCCATGATATGCCTGAAAGTGACCGGCAGGTCCACCCTCGTGAGAATGCAAATTGCCCCTCGCGTCTAACACATAATTTCATATTTATATATTTATACTTATTATTATTATTTCAGGACGCCCAATGTCGTCAGCAGAGCGGAGTGTCGAACGATCCGACCTTCGACAAGATCAACACAGCCCACCAATGCGTTCACGACAGGCGCGACAAAGCCTATGTGAGTGACCTCTGTCCTTGCCCTTTGCGCCCTTTCGGGACATTTCAGACCCCAAAGCGTTGGGTTTAAAGTACTTGATGTCAATTTTCCGCCGTCATTGTAATTCGATTTAACCCCCATCACCATTGACCGACCTCCCCGAGCAACCAACCGGAAAAAAAAGTCCCTCTTCTCTTCCTTGCCTCCAAAACAGATGGCAATGTACCCCCAAGTGACTCCCACAGTCAAAAGCTTCGCGCAGGGGGACGATGTCGACCCGGACGAGGAATCGGACGCCGGGGTTGAAAACGCGTACGAGAAGTTGATGGGGATGATCCATGGCGCCTAGTACTGCTCCTAGTTGTCCAACTAGTCGACCGTGTATCTAGTGATGTGCCTAGTGGTCTGCCAAGTACTCCAT